GCCTTCTCTCCTCCATGCCTTCTCTCCTCCATGCCTTCTCTCCTCCATGCCTTCTCTCCTCCATGCCTTCTCTCCTCCATGCCTTCTCTCCTCCATGCCTTCTCTCCTCCATGCCTTCTCTCCTCCATGCCTTCTCTCCTCCATGCCTTCTCTCCTCCATGCCTTCTCTCCTCCGTGCCTTCTCTCCTCCGTGCGGCGATGGGGGAAATAACAGCTGTGCGGTTCTCTGCGCCTCTGCTCCTTTGGCCTTCTTCCCTCCATGCCTTCTCTCCTCCGTGCCCTTTGCTCCATGTCTCTTCAATGCTGCATCTCTTTCCTCTTCTCCAGCCTCTCCTTCCTCTCCTCTGCTGCTTCGCCTCCCCTTCTGCTGCCACGCCTGCTGAAACCAGTTAAGTCTCTGCGGGCCTCTCTGCTGTTCCCACTGCTGCTGCCACTGCTGGCCTTCTCTTCTTCTCGCTGTCCCATCACTTCATGGCACCAGCAGCAGCACGCGGGAGGGAGGTAGGAGTGAGGGAAGTAGCAGCTTCCGTCCCATCACTTCACAGCGCAAGCAGCAGCACGCGGGAGGCAGTAACAGCTCACAGCAGTGCCTGTGTGCCTTCTCCCCTCCATGCCACTGGCAGTGGCAATGGCAAGGAACCCTCCTCCGCCTCCGCTGCCACTGCTGCTGCCACTGGTGCCACCGCTGGTCCCACTGCTGGCCTCCTCTCCTCCTCTCCTCCTCGCCTCCTCTCCTCCTCTCCTCCTCGCCTCCTCGCCTCCGTCTCCTCTGATGCATCTCCTGCGGAATGGGGAGGAAGGGAAGGAAGGACCAAGATATCGAAGGCAGGAAAGAAGATGAGCGGCAATTCTCACAGTGGCATTCATACAAGCAATGCAACGTTACCCAAGAGAATTGCACGGATTAGGCAACAAAAGTTCAGAACAACAAAAGAAAGAGAGGGGCTCACCATTTGCAGAGGTAGTTTCCATTCACCACCACGCTCCGCTGCTCCTTACCTCCTCTGCTCCTCTCCTCCTCTGCGCCGCTGCTCCACACCTACTCTCCTCCACGCCTCCTCTTCTCCACGCCTCCTCTCCTCCTCGCCTCCTCTCCTCCACGCCTCCTCTGGAGGCGTCGTGAAGTCTCGCGGCTGTCTGAAATGAAAGCAACGACGACATTAGTATATGTGGAAAACAGAAAGCAGAAACTTGGAGAGCACTTACCGAGGGGGCTGGAGGCGTCGTGAAGTCTCGCGGCTGTCTGAAACGGAAGCAACAACGACATTAGTACATGTGGAAAACAGAAAGCAGAAACTTGGAGAGCACTTACCGAGGGGGCTGGAGGCGTCGTGAAGTCTCGCGGCTGTCTGAAACGGAAGCAACAACGACATAAGTACATGTGGAAAACAGAAAGCAGAAACTTGGAGAGCACTTACCGAGGGGGCTGGAGGCGTCGTGAAGTCTCGCGGCTGTCTGAAACGGAAGCAACAACGACATTAGTACATGTGGAAAACAGAAAGCAGAAACTTGGAGAGCACTTACCGAGGGGGCTGGAGGCATCGTGAAGTCTCGCGCCTGTCTGAAACGGAAGCAACAACGACATTAGTACATGTGGAAAACAGAAAGCAGAAACTTGGAGAGCACTTACCGAGGGGGCTGGAGGCGTCGTGAAGTCTCGCGGCTGTCTGAAACGGGAAGCAACAACGACATTAGTACATGTGGAAAACAAAAAGCAGATATGAAAGATAGCTCACCGAGGGGCCTGGAGCGTTGTTGCTGTCTTCGTGATGGCTAAGACAAGAAGACACACACATAACAACATTAGGCATGAGACGACACAAGAAAGCAAAGAAGACTGCAGCTTACAACGGGTCCTAGCTGCTGCGTCCCCGTGTTGCTCCGGCCTTGGTGTTGCCTCCAGGTATTGCTGTACCTAGGAGAGGGGCGGCACAAAAGTTATTCTTTGCCCTCCAGAGAGCAAAGTAGGCGTCTCACTTGAAGGTGCTGCTCCTCCTCCTCCCTTGAAGGTGCTGCTCCACTTGAGGGTGTTGATCCCTTTGTTGCTCCGCCCGCGATGTTGGCCCCCTTCCTTGCTGTACCTAAAAGAGGGGAGGCACAAAAGTTATCATTTGAACCCCAGCGGGCAAAGTAGGCGCCGCTCCACCTCCCGCTGCTCCTCGTGTGTTGATCCTTTGCCCCCCAGGGGGTCAAAGCGCCTCACTTGAAGGCGCCGCTCCACCTCCCGCTGCTCCTCGTGTTGATCCTTTGCCCCCCAGGGGGTCAAAGCGCCTCACTTGAAGGCGCCGCTCCACCTCCCGCTGCTCCTCGTGTGTTGATCCTTTGCCCCCCAGGGGGTCAAAGCGCCTCACTTGAAGGCGCCGCTCCACCTCCCGCTGCTCCTCGTGTGTTGATCCTTTGCCCCCCAGGGGGTCAAAGCGCCTCACTTGAAGGCGCCGCTCCACCTCCCGCTGCTCCTCTTGTGTTGATCCTTTGCCCCCCAGGGGGTCAAAGCGCCTCACTTGAAGGCGCCGCTCCACCTCCCGCTGCTCCTCGTGTGTTGATCCTTTGCCCCCCAGGGGGTCAAAGCGCCTCACTAGAAGGCGCCGCTCCACCTCCCGCTGCTCCTCGTGTGTTGATCCTTTGCCCCCCAGGGGGTCAAAGCGCCTCACTTGAAGTGCCCAACAGGAGAAAGCAAGAACAACAACCGCAGCCAACAACAAGTGTGAGTTTTGAGACGTTTTGCTCTCAAAACCCGCGTTTTGCTCAATGCAGCGAATCTGCAGTGAGGAAGGAGGGGGCGTGAGTTTAGAGACGTCTCTCATAACTCACCATTTGAAGAGTTTTGAGCATCTGCTCCCACTGCTAGCCTTCCCTGCTAGCATCTGCTCCCACTGCTAGCCTTCCCTGCTAGCATCTGCTCCCACTGCTAGCCTTCCCTGCTAGCATCTGCTCCCACTGCTAGCCTTCCCTGCTAGCATCTGCTCCCACTGCTAGCCTTCCCTGCTAGCATCTGCTCCCACTGCTAGCCTTCCCTGCTAGCATCTGCTCCCACTGCTAGCCTTCCCTGCTAGCATCTGCTCCCACTGCTAGCCTTCCCTGCTAGCATCTGCTCCCACTGCTAGCCTTTGCTGCTAGCATCTGCTCCCACTGCTAGCCTTCCCTGCTAGCATCTGCTCCCACTGCTAGCCTTCCCTGCTAGCATCTGCTCCCACTGCTAGCCTTCCCTGCTAGCATCTGCTCCCACTGCTGGTCCTCTCTTCTCGTCTGCTCCCACTGCTGGTCTTCTCTTCTCGTCTTCTCCCACTGCTAGCAATCCCTGCTAGCATCTGCTCCCACTGCTAGCCTTCCCTGCTAGCATCTGCTCCCACTGCTAGCCATCCCTGCTAGCATCTGCTCCCACTGCTAGCCTTCCCTGCTAGCATCTGCTCCCACTGCTGGTCTTCTCTTCTGCTGCCAGCCACTGCTGCTGTCAGCTGTAGTGTCATTGCGGACCTCTCTCCTTCTCCCACCGCTGCTGCCACCGCTGGTGTCACTGCTGGTCTTCTCTTCTGCTGCCAGCCACTGCTGCTGTCAGCTGTAGTGTCATTGCGGACCTCTCTCCTTCTCCCACTGCTGCTGCCACTGCTGGTGTCACTGCTGGTCTTCTCTTCTGCTGCCAGCCACTGCTGCTGTCAGCTGTAGTGTCATTGCGGACCTCTCTCCTTCTCCCACCGCTGCTGCCACCGCTGGTGTCACTGCTGGTCTTCTCTTCTGCTGCCAGCCACTGCTGCTGTCAGCTGTAGTGTCATTGCGGACCTCTCTCCTCCTCCCACCGCTGCTGCCACCGCTGGTGTCACTGCTGGTCTTCTCTTCTGCTGCCAGCCACTGCTGCTGTCAGCTGTAGTGTCATTGCGGACCTCTCTCCTCCTCCCACCGCTGCTGCCACCGCTGGTGTCACTGCTGGTCTTTTCTTCTGCTCATGCCACTGCAGCCATCTCCTCTGGTCAAGACAGCTTCTTGTTCCTCAGCTGGTGCTGCAGTGATAATGATGTCATTGCTGTCGTTGCCACCGTTGCTGCCACCGTTGCTGCCACTGCTCTGCTGCCACTGCAGCTGCCACTGCTGCTGCTGCTGCCGCGTTCCTCCTGCTGCCACTGCCACCCATGCCTTAACGTTCCCTGCACAACCACCAAAGATTTCCAATTGACAGAGAAGAAGACAGAGAAGGTTGCTAAAAGTAGGGGTTATGAGAGAGAAATTTGACAGAGTGAAAGGTAACGAATGCAAGGAGGAGAAAAGGCTACGGAAAATAAGAATAAGAATATGAAAGCCATGAAAACAATCAAGGGAGAGGAACGCGAACGAGGAGGGAGGAGGGGGGAGCGAAGAAAGGAACGGGGGTGTTCAGTCAAGTCTCCAGTTCCTCACTTGTTTCTGCTACTCCAGTTGCTGCAGCTCCAGTTGCCTCGCCGTTCCTCCAGAGGCGAGCAGTGATCAGCAGGGCAGCTGAAGTGGTGCCTGCCGTGCGTCATCCCACTGCCGCCACCCCACTGCCGCCATCCCACTGTTGCTGTCTGCTGAATTAGTGGCAGAGAGCACAAGCTGAGAACAACAGAAAAGTGTGAAAGTATAGCACAGCAGAGCGACAAGTGAATGGCTGGGGAGGGGTGGGAGGGGGAAGGCGCATGGCGACAGTGGGATGAAAAAGACAGCGGAAAAACGAGGAAGAACACGAAAGCCATAAAAGCAATCAAGGCAGATGAAAACGCCAATGAGGAGCGAGAGGGGAGGAAGGGAGAGCAGAAGGAAGCAAGGGGGGGTGTTCAGTCATGGCTCCAGTTACCTACTTGTTTCTCCAGACGCTGCTGCTCCTGTCGATGCTGCCGCTGCCGCTGCAGATGCTTCTCCTGTCGCTTCTTCTCCGTCTCCCCAGCAACGCGTCACCGTGCCTGCACAAGGAACCGCAAGGTGCAAGCTCACAGTGAAGGTTAGTAACTGGGTAGAGGTTAGAAGCTGAGAGAGAGAAACCAGATGACACAATGCAAGGAGAAGAACGACGTACAATGAGGGAGGAGGAGGAGGAGGAGGAGGAGGAGGAGGAGGAGGAGGAGGAGGAGGAGGAGGAGGAGGAGGAGGAGGAGGAGGAGGAGGAGGAGGAGGAGGAGGAGGAGGAGGAGGAGAGGAGGAGGAGGAGAAGGAGTAGGAGGAGGACGGAGGAAGCAGGAAGCAGGAAGAAGAGGCGGAGGAGGAGGAGGAGGAGGAGGAGGAGGAGGAGGAGAGAGGGCCGCTACTGGTGAGGTTACACCCACAAGCCACAGACGAAAGGGGGTCTTATTGTCATGTCTCATGTTACTTACACTTGGTCTTTGCAGGTGAAGACGGTGGGGGGGGAGGGGGGAGTGCGGGGGAGATACCCCGCTACCGGATGCACTTACACTGGGGCCGTTGCCCGAAGTACCCAAGGGAAGGGGGTAACCGGATGCACTTACACTGGGGCCACTGCCCGAAGTACCGAAGGGGTAAGCGTCTGTGACCCGTGGGGTTCACCTCAACCAGCAACGACGGAGGAGGAGGAATATGAGCGGGAGAAGGAGAGGAGGAGGAGGAGGAGGAGGAGGAGGAGGAGGAGGAGGAGGGGGAGGAGGAGGAGGAGGAGGAGGAGGAGGGAGAGGAGGAGGAGGAGGAGGAGGAGGAGGAGGAGGAGGAGGAGGAGGAGGAGGAGGAGGAGGAGGAGGAGGAGGAGGAGGAGGAGCAGGGATGCAATGATGGGGTGAGGACGGAGCATGTAAACTGAAAAAGGGTTCAGGGATGGGAAACTTAGCCGTTTGTGGTTGGCGTTGGCATTGCTCCATGCTCTGCCATCTTCTCTCGCCCGCGCCTCCCCCCTGAAGCATCCGCGCCTTCCCCCTGATGCATCCGCGCCTTCCCTCTGATGCATCCGCGCCTCCCCCCTGATGCATCCGCGCGTTTCCCTGATGCATCCGCGCGTTTCCCAGATGCATCCGCGCCTCTCCGCCGCGATGCTCCATGCTCGACGCCAGTCACTCGCTGCTGCTCCAGTCGCCGCTGCCCCGTTTCCCCAGCGACGCCTCCCCGTCCCTGCACAAGGAACAGCAAGGTGCAAGCTCACAGTGAAGGTTAGTGACCGGTAGAGGAGACAGAGAGGAAACAGATGACACAATGCAATGCAAGGAGAGCAGATGATCAGAAGGCGAAACATATGCGAAAAGGAGGAGGAGGAGGGGGAGGGGAGGAGGAGGGGGGGAGGGGAGGAGGAGGAGGAGGAGGAGGAGGAGGAGGAGGAGGAGGAGGAGGAGGAGGAGGAGGAGGAGGAGGAGGAGGAGGAAGAGGAGGAGGAAGAGGGGCCGTTACTGGCAAGGGTACTCCCACAAGCCACAGACGCAGGTGTTTTAACTCTTGCTCTTAGTCTTCATCGTTGCAGCGAGGGGCAAAGGCCGGATGCACTTACGCTGGGCCATTTACCCCCGAAGTACCAAAGGGTTAACCGGATGCATACACTTACACTGGGGGCATTTACCCCGAAGTACCAAAGGGTTAACCAGGGTGGGGAGAATACCGTAGTGAAAGTTTTGGGGAGAATACCGGCAGTGGGGAAGGTCTGTGACCCGTGGGGCTCGCCTTAACCAGCAACGACAAAGGAGGAGGAGGAGGAGGAGGAGGAGGAGGAGGAGGAGGAGGAGGAGGAGGAGGAGGAGGAGGAGGAGGAGGAGGAGGAGGAGGAGGAGGAGGAGGGATGCAATGATGGGGTGAGGACGGAGCATGAAAACTGAAAAAGGGTTCAGGGATAGGAAACTTAGCCGTTTGTAGGTTGGCGTTGGCATTGCTCCATGCTCTGCCATCTTCTCTCGCCCGCGCCTACCCCCTGAAGCATCCGCGCCTACCCCCTGATGCATCCGCGCCTCCCCCTGATGCATCCGCGCCTTCCCCTGATGCATCCGCGCTGATGCATTCCCCCTGATGCATCCGCGCTGATGCATCCGCGCCTTCCCCCTGATGCATCCGCGCGTTTCCCCTGATGCATCCGCGCCTCCCCCCTGATGCATCCGCGCCTTCCCCCTGATGCATCCGCGCCTTCCCCCTGATGCATCCGCGCGTTTCCCCTGATGCATCCGCGCGTTTCCCCTGATGCATCCGCGCCTCCCCCCTGATGCATCCGCGCCTTCCCCCTGATGCATCCACGCGTTTCCCCTGATGCATCCGCGCGTTTTCCCTGATGCATCCGCGCCTTTCCCTGATGCATCCGCGCCTTTCCCAGATGCATCCGCGCCTTTCCCAGATGCATCCGCGCCTTTCCCAGATGCATCCGCGCCTTTCCCAGATGCATCCGCGCCTTCCCCCTGATGCATCCGCGCGTTTCCCCTGATGCATCCGCGCGTTTCCCCTGATGCATCCGCGCCTCCCCCCTGATGCATCCGCGCCTTCCCCCTGATCCATCCTCGCGTTTCCCCTGATGCATCCGCGCGTTTCCCCTGATGCATCCGCGCCTTTCCCAGATGCATCCGCGCCTTTCCCAGATGCATCCGCGCCTTTCCCAGATGCATCCGCGCCTTTCCCAGATGCATCCGCGCCTTTCCCAGATGCATCCGCGCCTTTCCCAGATGCATCCGCGCGTTTCCCCTGATGCATCCGCGCGTTTCCCCTGATGCATCCGCGCGTTTCCCCTGATGCATCCGCGCCTCCCCCCTGATGCATCCGCGCCTTCCCCCTGATGCATCCACGCGTTTCCCCTGATGCATCCGCGCCTTTCCCCTGATGCATCCGCGCCTTTCCCAGATGCATCCGCGCCTTTCCCTGATGCACCCGCGCCTTTCCCAGATGCATCCGCGCCTTTCCCAGATGCATCCGCGCCTTTCCCAGATGCATCCGCGCCTTTCCCAGATGCATCCGCGCCTTCCCAGATGCATCCGCGCCTTTCCCAGATGCATCCGCGCCTTTCCCTGATGCATCCGCGCCTTTCCCAGATGCATCCGCGCCTTTCCCAGATGCATCCGCGCCTCTCCGCCGCCATGGTCGACGCCAGTCACCATCGCCAGCGCCAGCGCCTCTCTCGCCAGCGTTTCTCCCCCGTGGCTGCACGGACGCAGCAGCACCGCTCCAGAGACCAGCTCAAGTCGCTTCCGTTCTGCATGGACGGAGACAGTTCAATTCAACGCCATCAATTAGTGCGCAGTTTGAAATGAAACTGAATGAGAAAAGTAGCAAATGGAAATTATAGGAGCAAAGATAGCAACTGGTAATGATGCGAGCAAAGATGGCCACTGGAAACACAAGCGAGCAAAACATCTATCATGAAAACTCACCACAACGGACTGGCCGCGAGCCCCCACAGTAGTAGCGGCGCGATCGGCGCTCCTGGTCGCTCGCGAGTTCCTCTCTAATCCAGAGGTACCGTCGCAGGCGTTCGTATTAAGAGGTACCGTCGCAGGCGTTCGTATTCAGAGGTACCGTCGCAGGCGTTCGTATTCAGAGGTTCCGTCGCAGGCGTTCGTATTCAGAGGTACCGTCGCAGGCGTTCGTATTCAAAGGTATCGTCGCAGGCGTTCGTAGGTACCGTCGCAGGCGTTCGTATTCAGAGGTACCGTCGCAGGCGTTCGTATTAAGAGGCACCGTCGCAGGCGTTCGTATTCAGAGGTACCGTCGCAGGCGTTCGTATTCAGAGGTACCGTCGCAGGCGTTCGTATTCAGAGGTACCGTCGCAGGCGTTTGTATTCGAAGGTACCGTCGCAGGCGTTTGTATTCAGAGGTACCGTCGCAGGCGTTCGTATTCAGAGGTACCGTCGCAGGCGTTCGTATTCAGATTGAACCGTCGCAGGCGTTCAGAGGTTGATCAGAAATACCGCCAGGGACACCGTATGCAGTAAAGAGCTGACGAGTTTGAAGCGTCGTCGTAGTTTGCGTCGTTTGCAGAGATTGAACCGTCGCAGGCGTCGTATTCAGATTAAACCGTCGCAGGCGTTCGTATTCAGATTGAACCGTCGCATAGGACAGGTGCGCGAGGATAGTTCATGAGATTGAAATGTCGTATTGTGCGAGACTCGTAAGCACCGTGAGCGTTGACGGTTTCGCAGCGACTCCGGGAAATCTGTAGCATCACGTCTTGTCGAGCACGGAAATGATCCGATCACGAAACTGATCTATGAGCCATAGATCTTATACTAGCGATGATGAAACTGATTCTCTCGCTAGGCCCTAAATCTTGCTATCCTCCTCCTTTAGTACCTTAAGCTAACCCGCTTCGGCAATAGTCCACGTCGCGAAAAGTACCTCCACGGTACAATATTCCGAGGAAGCCATGGATATCAAGTTAGGGTACAACTCGGGATTCCTCTCTACGACAAATGCTGCACAGGGAATGCCTGAGAAGAATTTGCTGGAGGTAGAGTGGACTTGGTGAGGTGGACTTGGTAGATTTGGGAAGAAGGAGGTTCGGTACGGTGATGCGGGTTTCAGCATGGTGAGAAAAGACTAGAAAGGTGATCCGAGTTTGAGAAAGGAGAAAGGGAAGCAGCCGAGCGGCAAGTCGAGTCGCCACGTGAAGTGCTCCCCTCCACCCAAAGGGGCAGAGCAGAGTCCCCGAAGGGTCAGGGTTCCCCCCGCCACGGCAAAGTCGCTGACGAGTTGCGCTGCTGTAATCGCAGTATGTCCGCCAACGATGTGTGCTGAAGGCGGGAACGGCGGAAAGTGGTGGGGTGGCAGTCAGCGACGCCTTTGGCGACCAGATGGCCTGTGCGCGGGCAAGAGCCGCCGTGTGCGAAATTATGAGTGATAACGAACTGTTACTCTGTGATGGCGGGATGCTACTGTTTTCAAGTCGGATGATCTGACGGCTGAGATGATATGAATGATTCGTCATCGGCATGATGTGGATGTCATGACCCGACGTCATCACCTCACCATGCGACATTCCCGAGGTGGTTCACTTGTGTCAGACCACGGATTCAAATTTGAGCCGATTGTCACAAGGCCACCATTCAGGCGCCGACGCCGAGTTCATCCTTGTTTTAATATTTCACACACAGAGTGGCCGCCCATCACACCAATATCAACATACAGAATGGAAGACACAATATCCCTCCCTCAAATATATAAATCAAACATGCAAATACTTATAAGCTAATTGGTAGTAGCCAAATATTGCCGTACATGCTGCAAAGTACCAATGATCATGTGGACTATGTGGCCCCCCTTGGTGGCAGGCATTTTGTTGCCTGGCCATTGGCAGCACCATGTATCCAGCCATCTTTCCCACTCAAGGCCAGCACTTACTGGTACACTAAATACTTCACGCTGTGCCTGCTGCTGCTGCTGCTGCTGCTGGTTGTCATGGGCGGCCCCCATCGGCAGCAGGCACGGTGGCTCCACACATGGAGGAGGACTGCGAGTGCGAGGCCGGTGCAGCAGCGGCGGCAGGCAGAGGCGTGAGAGCGTTGTTGAGCAGCAGAGCAATGGCAGCAGAGGAGAGCAGGTGCGGGGCAGGTGCTGTGGCGTGGGAGAGTGAGTGCGTGGGTGTGATGTTGCTGTGCGTCTCGCTCATAAGCTCTTCCAGCTGCGCCTGAGACGGGATAAAGATGGGTAGGCAGGCATCGGGAGAGGGGGAAAGAGGGGAGTGGTAGAGCAGGAGAGATGTGATGGGGTCAACATGTTGCCATGGGAGTTGGATGCAACGAGGGAATGGGAATAAGAAGTGTGAAGGATGTGTTTAGTTAAGGATACTTCAACACATGGAGAATCACTGTTTCCTGCCACGCACTTCCTTGCGTCCTCGCTTGCTTACCTCTAAGATAGATTTCTCTGATGATTGTCCCTTGTCTTCCATCCCACTGCCACACCTTTCAAGGTCCCCAGCGCTCTATGCTTCCCAGGCACCTGCACCCCTCCCTCCATGCACCTCTTGCCCTGCATCCCCCCCATAATATGTTCCTGCTGTCGCTGCTGCAACTGCTGTTCCTCTAGTTGTTGCTGCTGCTGCTCCTGCTGGAGCTGCTGCTGGCGCTGAATGTGTTGAGCCAGCAGCCCACACGACTCAATGGAAGATGCTGCACCAGGCAACAACGACCGCGATGCTGCTGCCGCCCCTGCTGCCGACTCCCCTCGCCCCTCCTCCTGAGAACTGACTTTCGCCTCCACCACTCTCCCCTGCAGATGGCAACCCCCTTCGCCTGCCCCCCACGCTCTGCTCCTCCCTGCACCGCCCCAGCTCTTGCTCTTGCCCCATGGCACCAGCCCCCCACCCCCTTCTCCTCGCCCCCCTGCCCCCCATCGCGCTGTTACCTCTGCCGTACACGCCGCCTCAGCAGCTCTCCCCTCTACTGCCAGCGACCGCACTCGCGGCAACGCCCTGCCGCACTGTGTGCCGGCTGTCAGGGACGCAGCAGCTGCAGAGGTGGAGCGCGGTAACAAGGGGCGCAAGGGATGGAGGTTGACGCTGGCATGAGCTTCCTTTGGAGAAGGGGAGCTTGTAGTACCAGCAGTGGCACCCATTCGGGCGTCACTGCAGCCCCAGCTACCCTGCCTGCCCAGGAGAGCACCTGCACTGGCACTCACCATGTGCCCAGGGCTCGCCACAGTCCCCACTGCACCTTCCCCTGAGCTTAACCTTTCTCGCCACGCCGCCTCCCTGCCCTCTGAGGCTACGCCTGCTTCTCCCCGCCCCCCACCACTCACAGTGCTGCCCATTGAATCGTCCCTCTGCCCTTCGCGCTGTGCTGCCCCTGTGGCCTTCCCCTGCGGCGTTGCTGCTCCCCCGGGGGACCCCCCTGTCCACTCCACCTCCCACTGCCTGTGTCCGCCTGCCTTTCCCTTTCCCTCGCCGCTACTGCGTCCCCACGCACTGCCACGCGGCCTCCCCCTGGGCGTGCAAGAGAGAGGGGAGAGCAGAGGGGAGTGCGAGGAGGGCGCGGGGAAGCGAGGCGAGACGACGCACAGCGGCTTTGGGGGGAAGCGTGGCACATGCACCGTGCTCTCTCCGTGCCTCACCACACCACTGCTTGGTGCTTCCATGCCTGCAGCACTCACTATCACATGACTACCACCTGTTGTCGCAGCAGCACCTGCCGCGGTCCCTTTTCCACCTGCACCTGCTGCTGCAGCACCAGACACTGCTGCTGCGGCAGTGGCTGCCAAGGATGTCACAGGTGTAATGCTGTGCTGCTGCATGGGCACCGTTTTGCTGCGCTCTGCATGTGGGGTGCGCAGCTGTGCAGCGTTCAGAATGGCGCGCCGCACTGCTGCTGCGAATGGCAGCTGAGAAATGCTCGTGCTGTGCTGGGGGGTGCTGCGGCGCAGCACTGTGCTGTCCCCTAGTGACTGTGTCTCCCACTCGCTGCTTCGCCCCACTTGCTGTGCGCTCTGGCTTGCTTGAGGGGCAGGCGGAGTGAAGGCCTGTGGATTCGCAGCAGACATAGCAGCAAGACCCAGCGCACCACCGTTGCCTATCACCTGTGATCTGTCCCCTGCTGCTGTTGTTGTTGCTGCTGCTGCTGCTGCTGCTGCTGCTGCTGCTGTTGCTGCTCCATCCACACCTGCTTGATCTGACGCGTTACCTCCAAGCGCTCTTCCCGCCTTGCCTCATCAGCTGAATCCCCATGGACCTCTTGCCCTTGCCCCTGTCCCTGCTGCACGATCTGCCGCTGTTTCATGAGCAGCAGGCGGTGCTGCAGCTGCAGCCATGCAATGCGCTGCAGCCCTTGACTCCACAGCGGCACCGCCCTGTTGCTGCCATCGCCCTCCCTGCTCGCCTCCTCGCACCTCCTCGCATTGCCGATCCCACCTTCGCCACTCCTCGCAGCAATCGCCGCCGTTTCCATCTCCCCACCAGAAGCATCCACAGCGCAAGCCCTCTCACAAGCATGCGCACCCACCGCTGGAGCAGCAGCAGGGGGGCAAAGCTCACCTCCAGCAGCCGTGAGCGCAGGGAAGGGGCTATGCGCATATCTGCCTGGATGCACGGGTGTGATAGGCTCACGAGTCATGTGTGCCATGCCTGCCGCGCTCTCCATCCCCCATGCGCCACTCACTTCCCCGCCTGCCCATGACAGGGACCGCTTCTTGGGCACCAGCGCTGCCTGCGCGCACACGCCCCCACCCCCCCTTTCCGCGTCTGCTAGACCAAGTCTCATTGCGGCTGGAGTGTGCGTTGGTGGCGCGGGGGAGTGTGGGGGACGCAAGTGCGGAGCAAGGAAATGGTGCGGGAGGGAGTGCGGGGAGAGGGAGGCGGAAGTGGGGGTGCTGGTGGTGGGGAAGGAGGCAGAGACGGTCCGCGCGAGACCAGAGACATGAGGGGCGGATGGGGACGCGCAGGGGCGGGAGTAGGAACGAGGCGCGGGTAGGGCGCCGCTGGTGTGGTGGAGAGGGGGAAGTTGAAGATTTGGTGGCGGGGTGACGTGAGGGAGTGAGTGCGCGAGGCGCGGAGGAACGCGCGTGTGGTGGCTGGGCGGCGAGGGAAGGAGAGGGTGCGGCAGGAAGGCCGCATGGGGCATACCGTCCCGCACCTCCTTGCGCTCGCTCTGCTTCTTCTCCACTTGCTGCGTCCGCCTGCCTTCATCGCCACATGCACGGGTCGTACCCGTCGCCGTGTGTGCGCCCAGCCACTCCGCTGCTGCGCTGGATCCGCCGATCCCCCCCATGGGGGAGGTCTTTAGGCGCTTCCGCGCGCCCAGCATTGCGCACACCATCTCCAAGCAGTCCACATCCGACCCCGCGCCACTGCCCGCCCCGCCCTCCGCCTCCTCGCCCTCACCCCCTTTTTCCCCCCGCATGCCCTGCCCCTCCGCCGCTTCTTCCGCCAAGCTCGCCGCCCCTGCTGCGCACGTATCTGGCGGCACAAGCTCTCGCGCCTCGGTATCACCGCGTCCCGCCGCGCGCACCACTCCGCCGTTTTGCGCCGCGCAGCGGACCCCGCTGCTGTCCCCGCTCCTGCCCCTGCTGGTGCCCCCTCCGCCCCCCCCGCCTCCCCCGTCCGCCCGTCGCGACAGCTCCATCAAATCCACGTCGCCCTCTTGCGCCGCTTCCGCGCCTCTGCTCCCCCACTCCACTCGCCTACACTCCCAGCTACTCACTTTCCTGCCCTCTCTCCCGCGCGCTTCCACCCGACTCTCCGTCCCCCCCGCGGCCAGCCCCTCTGCGCCTCCCAGGCCAGCGTTCCCCCTTTCTCCTTCCGCGCTAGCGCACGTTCCCCTTTCTCCGCTTTCTTCCGGAGCCCGCCCAGCCGTCCCGCTCTCTCGTCCTCCGCCCGCCAAGCCTCCCCCAACCTCCCGCTGGATCGCCCGCCCCTCCGCCCTCCCCCAAGCCCCGACGCCCGGCCACGAGGAAGGAGTGGGGGTGCCGGCAGTGGTGGCGGAAGAAGCGAGGTCGGGCGGGGGGGAGGAGGTGGGCGTGGACGGTGGGGCGGCGCTGGTGCTGCGACTACCCGCTGCGCTGGCTCCGACAGCCCCCTCCGCTGCCCATGGCTGCATGCTCGCTGCCGTGCCTTCATGATCGCGGCCCGGTTTGGACTGCGGGGTCGTGGAACGCAGCGCGGTACTGCAGTCATCGGCTCCGCCGTCCGCCATCCGCGCCTCGGCCGCTGTCTCCTCGCCCGCCGCTGCCACCGTCGCAACGTCGGTCCGACAAACGCCGTTCGCCCACCAGCCCAACTCGTCGCACAGTTGCTCTTCCGCGACTCCTGCAGGCATTCCCGGCGCGGCGACGACACTATCGAGAGGGTCACTGGGCCCAGCACAGGCATCGCCGGGCGTTTCGTCCGCCGCAGAGAGCTCATTCAAGTGAACCTGCCCGCTAGTGCCGACCATCGGCGAGGCCGCTGCACCTTCCGGCCTGACCGCGTTAAAACTCGTGTTTAAATCCGTCCACGAGACCACGCGATCCATGGCGTCGAATCCCGAGAATCTGAAAGGAATCTGCTCCGCAGCTGCCGGAACAAGATTGGCCCTGGATCCCGAAAAGGAGCTGTCCGCGCCTGCTTCTGCAGGTGCCGCAGCGGTGCCGCCAGTTTCGCTGTCCGTCCTAGCCACGTGCCCCGTAACCCCGCCCGACCCTTCAATTAACGCCCATAAGTCCGCCCAATTGCCTCCGCCCTCAATAGCTTCACCGCCATGCTCCGCCCACACCCATTCGTCGCCTTCAGCCACTCCCATCGCGCCACCGTCACCCTCCGACACGTGTAACGAGTCATGGGCTGTCCCGCTGCTTCGCCGGTCATTCCCTTCTTGCATCGCGGCAACCGACACGTGTAACGATTGAGTGAACTTACTTGACTTTGTTGAAAGAAAGCCCTGCGTCGTCCGTCATGGCCGAAAGGGAAGCATCACAACTGCGCGGTGGCAGCTAGCTCGTGTACGCGGTGAACGCGGCTATCAGGAATGTTCTAAGCTCCTTGAAGAGGAGCATGAGATGACCATCAGGAACGTTTCTAAAATCTCTATTAACCGCGAGATAAACAGCTGGTTAATAATTCACTCAATTTGTCCTGACTCCAGCAACGGATATGGATAACCGAATTACTATGACTAAGTGAGATAGCGGCCGTAGTAAGGAATTTTAACCGCGACGAAAACATCAAAGAGATCTCCGTAACAGCAAGGTACCTCGTGAGATGGATCAGCGGCAAAACGACGCCACGAAGGTAATGGAGGTCACCACGTCATAACGACGCCGTCCAGTAAGTGTATATTCTGGAGATAATTAACTACCAGCTGGCTGCTCGTTGGGTCTTAATTTGATGGGCTGTCGAATGGCCTTATTCGTGTGAACCAGCTCTTCCTGGGTCGATATGCAAGACCCTCTTGGAAAAACAAGCATTCTCGCGCGCTATCGCCCTGCTCGGAGTTTGTTTCGGCAGCTCTAGCATTGTGCGGCTCCAGAGTAGTGCTGGTCGGCTTCTGAACCAGCTTCCACTCGACGCTGTTGTTCTGGGAGCGAGTGACTGTTGCTGGCTGCGAGCTTCACAAACCATGGTGATCAAGGACAGGACAGGAGCGATCAAGTTTTGATTGAATGCTTCCCCTGCGGATTCGCGCAACCCACCGCATAACCGTGCGGTTGGGGAATTGCTTGGTTCTGGTCGGGCGTTGATTGCTTAGATCAGATGTGACGCAGCAGAAGGCCCGATGCTCTGCTGCCTGCTGCATGTGATTGTTGAGCACGCTCGCCCGAATTTTCCAGCTGGTTGTCGCGATGCGAATGCGGAGCGCTAACCAGAGAGGAGTGGCGGCAGCGTACACAACGGGCGAACCACATTCCACCAATCTGAGGTCGGGGCAGGCAGTGGCTAATTATTCCACCTTCCACACAGGTCAAGCAGCCCGCATAAAACAAGTAATGCAATATTTCCGGGCTTTTGGGTGAACCGAAGAGAAGCCTGCTCACCTTTGGGTTGACATGCAAATTGTACACTTTCGAAGTGCTCCACCAAGAATGGGTGCTAACCACCCCATGTGTTGTGCCCGCGTGATCGTCCACGTAGTGTACACACTCTGTTGCGTGCTAACTACCCAGCCCCAATGTCAAAGCCCTATCAGTTCTCCAAGTAGCCTTGTCGCAGAAGTGGTGGCTTGATTCGTCCACACCGTTTCCCATCCCCCGCAAACCCCACCTTCTTCCCTCAAAAAGAGGGGAAAAGGCGGCGGTTTCTTGCGGTGCACTGGCGCGCATGGCGTGGTGGGTATGGTTTAGGCACGAGCCCACATCAGCTCAAGACAAACGGGTTTGGTGGGGTTAGCAAGCTGGAAGAAAGGGCATCATAGCTTTCGCTTATCACTGTTTCTCTGTGGCTCAACTGATCTGTCCCAGCCCAGCTGGCCACGGACAGCATACTGCGGCAATCCAGGGTCCACGTGAAATTAGCGGTTGTGCATGTGGAACAGAGAAAGAAGCACCGCAAAATCCGATGTGTATGAGATCCGAACCGCTTGGTCATGATGACCGCAGAAGCACTCAATTGCAATCAGCTTAGGGATGGAAGTGTATTCCTTCACATAGTAAACCCGTCTAATGATATATAGTTGTGTTGGTATATATTGTGAACTAGATGAACAGAATAATATATTAAAATGAAGTATTTATCCTTCAAAACAACATTTAATTTTCCAACAGGGGATAGGACAAACGTCGCAGGACAAACGTCGCACGACAAACGTCGCAGGACAAACGTCGCAGGACAAACGTCTCACGACAAATGTCGCATGACAAACGTTGCAGGACAAACGTCGCACGACAAACGTCGCACGACAAACGTCGCAGGACAAACGTCGCAGGACAAACGTCGCAGGACAAACGTCGCAGGACAAACGTCGCAGGACAAACGTCGCAGGACAAACGTCGCACGACAAACGTCGCAGGACAAACGTTGCAGGACAAACGTCGCACGACAAACGTCGCACGACAAACGTCGCAGGACAAACGTCGCAGGACAAACGTCGCAGGACAAACGTCGCAGGACAAACGTCGCAGGACAAACGTCGCAGGACAAACGTCGCAGGACAAACGTCGCACGACAAACGTCGCACGACAAACGTCGCACGACAAACATCGCACGACAAACATCGCACGACAAACGTCGCACGATAAACGTCGCACGTCAAACGTCGCACGTCAAACATCGCAGGACAAACGTCGCAGGACAATTGACGCAGGACAATTGACGCAGGACAAACGTCGCAGGACAAACGTCGCACGACAAACGTCGCACGACAAACGTCGCACGACAAACGTCGCAGGACAATCGTCGAAGGACAAACGTCGCACGACAAACGTCGCACGACAAACGTCGCACGACAAACGTCGCACGACAAACGTCGCACGACAAACGTCGCACGACAAACGTCGCAGGACAAACGTCGCACGACAAACGTCGCACGACAAACGTCGCAGGACAAACGTCGCAGGACAAACGTCTCACGACAAACGTGTCAAACATATATGCTGCATATTGTCTAGGCTGTAGGGGGGGAGCCCATATGGGGTACAGCCCAATTAGGGTTTACTACTTGTACTCCTGCATGCTGCTAATTCATCCCATTCCTGCTGCTAGATTTTGACATGGTTTCAGAGCACTAAGGTCCGTAGGACCGTTTTTTTTTCGGGCCCACCTACCGCTGCGGTTACCACGCTACCCCACGTACCTGCCTGCCTTGCCTTGCCTTGTGACGTGCTGCACTATGTGCGCCGTCCAGCAGCCCTAGCGCTGCCTCCTGCTGCCCTAGGCCAGCGCGCTGCCCCTAGAGGCCCGTAAGGCCCACGCGCCGCCCCTAGAGGCCCGTAAGGCCCGCGCAGCCTGCTGCAGCCGCGCGCAGCCCGCACAGAGCCCGCGCAGCCCGCACCGAGCCGCGCACAGCCCGCTGCAGCCGCGCGCAGCCCGCGTCGAGCCGCGCGCGGCCTGCTACGGCCTCGCGAGGCCCGCGCGCGGCCCGCAGCAGCCCGCGCCGAGCCGCGCGCGGCCTGCTACTGCCTCGCGCGGCCCGCGCGCGGCCCGCAACAGCCCGCGCCGAGCCGCGCGCGGCCCGCTACTGCCTAGCGCCTCGGCCACGACCTGCCGCTGATGCGGCCCCGCCCTGCAGCTACCACGGCCCCGCTCTGCAGCTGCCACGGCCCCGACCTGCCGCTGACGCGGCCCCACCCTGCTACTGCCGCTGAAGCGGCCCCGCCCTGCAGCTGCTTCGGCCCTGCTCTGCAGCCGGTTTTGCGGCCCCGACGCCGCCGCTGTCGTGCGCCTACTCGGCCGCCGCCCGTCGAGCGCCGGCCCTGCTCGCCCGGTGAGCGCCTGCTCTCCCAGCCTTTGGTGAGCGCCTGCCTGCCTGCCTGACGGCCTGCCTGTCTGCCTGCCTGCCTGCCGGCCTGGCTGCCTGCCTGCCTGCCGGCCTGCCTGCCTGCGCGACTGCCTGCCTGCCTGCCGGCCTGCCTGTCTGTCTGCTTGCCTGCCTGCCTGCTTGCCTGTCTGCCTGCCTGCCTGCCTGCCTGGCTGCCTGCCTGCCTGCCGGCCTGCCTGCCGGCCTGCCTGCCTGCCTGCCTGCCGCGCCTGCCTTGCCCGCGCTACTGCTGCTGCTACTGCTACTGGCAGGTGGCCAGATGCAGCTCCAGCGACGTTCACGCGAGCCTCTGACGCCCCAGCAGCTTAGTGAGTGGTATACTAGCTGGGGTTGTCGCAGTAGCCGTCGTAGCTGTCGCCCTGGAGCTGGTCAGTTGGGAGCGTCTGGCAGTGGCCAGCTACAGCTGCAGGGGCGTCCACGTGAGACACTTACGCCCCGGCAGCTCCAGGAGTGGTACGCTCAGTGTAGCAGGTCTACGCGTACAGTTCGCTGCCCGTACGTCATTCGCACAGGTGCTAGGACTGGTCAGCCTTGTGGGACGCTTGGTCACACACAGTCCCGCTGCTTTTCTCGTCTGAGCGACGACTGGCGCACAGTGTTTGGCGACGAGGCTGAGCTCCCCACCTGGCTGGAGCTGCATGGACAGAGGGTAGATATCTTTGCGCTTGACTATGATGCTATTCTCACTGCCATGTATGCATTGCCTACTAGTGCTGATCGTGCCTGTTATCTGTGCGTACCGCCTGACCCTGGTGAGGCTGCTGCTCTAGGTGCTAGTGCGTCTCCTGCTCTAGGTGCTGGTGAGGCTGCTGCTCTCGGTGCTAGTACGTCTACTGCTCTAGGTACTGGTGAGGCCGTGGCTTCAGGTGCTGGTGAGTCTGCTCTCTCTGGTACTGCGCCAACTACGGTCTCGCACACCTTCACCCTTGACTCAGGAGCTTCTCGCTCCTTCTTTCGCGACTGCACCACACTCACGCTGCTTAGTCGGCCAGTTCCAGTCTCCCTGGCGGACCCCTCCGGGGGTCCAGTCCTTGCCCACTACTCCACGGTTCTGCCGTGTCCGGCCGTCCCGTCCGGCTCGCTGTCAGGTCTTTACCTCCCCTCGTTCTCTACGAACTTGGTGAGTGGAGCTGACCTCCAGGATCGGGAGGTTGACCAGTTCACTCCTGCGAGTCAGCGAGTGACTCACTGTACGTGTGCTAGGACGGGCCGGCACTTGGCCACGTTCACCCGTGCACCTGGCTCGAGTCTGTACACACTGACCACTGAGTCCCCTCAGGTAGCTGCGTCTGCGTCTACGTCTGGTCAGCTGGCGGCCCCCTGCGAGTGTC